ACATTATGACGTCATGCTATTGGTTTTTGGACAACGACCCCATTGTTATTTTTTTTTTGAAAAAAAAATTATTATTATAAAGTTGACTAAAAATGTGACTTTACTCCCTTCAAATTCAATTTTTTTTTACATAAAACCCACAATAATATATTTTTCTAACAAAAACCCAATCCTAACTACAATAATAAATTTCTCTATTTTCCTGCCTGTTTACAATAGGATCCGCACGATAATAACGTGCGGACATCCGGATAAGAGAATAACTATATATAACGTACACACACCATTCAATGCTCCAACCGTCAAACTTGTTTGTATATACTTCAAGATCGTATACCCCAAAAATTGCAAAAAACAAACATTCATAGATCTAGTAATGTGACAAAACTTTTCAACGGTTATAAATGAAAAATCACGATTTAAGGGTTATTTTAACTCTGATTTTGATGATTTTTTTACAGCTACACTCCTTGACCCTATATGAATACAATGACTGAATTTGATCTTCAATTTAAAATATTTACACTAGTGGATACCGCAAAATCTTATGTTATATTTAACAAAAGTATAAATAAACTCTTAATTGTTAGTGAATATATTGTTTTGATGGCATACACATACTACGAAACCAGTTTCAACGATCCAACCGTCAAACTTGTTTGTTTATACTTCGAGATCATATACGCCAAAAATCGGAAAAAATAAACATTTAGAGATCAAGTAATGGGACAAAACATTTCGACGGTTATAAACGAAAAATCATGATTTAACGGTTATTTCAACTCTGATTTTGATGATTTTTTACGGCTACACTCCTTGACCCTATATGAATACAATGACTGAATTTGATGTTCAATTTAAAATATTTACACTAGTGGATACCACAAAATCTTATGTTCTATTTAATAAAAATATAAATAAACTATTAATTGTTAGTGAATATATTGTTTTGATGGCATACGCATTCTACGAAACTAGTTTCAACGATCCAACCGTCAAACTTGTTTGTTTATACTTTGAGATCATATATGCCAAAAATCGAAAAAAATAAACATTTAGATATCAAGTAATGGGACAAAACATTTCGACGGTTATAAATGAAAAATCATGATTTAACAGTTATTTCAATTTTGATTTTGATGATTTTTTACAGCTACACTCCTTGACCCTATATGAATACAATGAACTAATTCGATCGTCAATTTAAAATATATATTTTCTAACAAAAACCCAATCCGAACTAAAATAATATATTTTTCTAACAAAAATCCGTTCCGAACTAAAATAATAAATTTAAAGCTCCTTAATAAATATATATACCGTTTAATTTCTTAAGTGTTATGCATACAAAATAAAAAAACAAAAATAAATTGGTTTAGGCGCGATGAAATATTTGGATTACGTCATGCAAAGATTAAAAAAAAAAATTATTTTGTTTATTCTTGTAAAGACTTTGCGCGACAAACCACACTTCGTAGCGCAATACTTTGTGCAACAAATGACATTAATTCGTCGCACAAAGTCATGCAAAGATTTTAAAAAATAATTTTTTTATTTTGTTTATTTTTGTAAAGACTTTGCGCGACGAACCACGCTTCGTAGCGCAATACTTTGTGCAACGAAGCTTAGTTATTTGTTGCCCAAAGTCATGCAAAGATTTTAAAAAATAAATTTTTTGTAAAGACTTTGCACGACGAACCATGCTTCGTAGCGCAATACTTTGTGCAACGAAGCTTAGTTATTCGTCGCCCAAAGTCATGCAAAGATTTTAAAAAAATAAATTTTTTATTTTATTTATTGGGCCCAGGCGGATAAGTGGCAAAAGATGACATGACTCATGGACCAAATGGAGCTCCAAATACCCATCCCAAATTTGGCAACTAAGGGGAAACTCTCCCCTTGCCTTTTGTTTTGTCCTATATAAGTTAAGTGTTGGAAAAAACCTAACTAGGATTTTTGGTTTCCTACTTTGGTTGATCAGTGATCATCTTTGTATCTCATCTTCCATAGACCAAAAATTGGTCAATCAAGAAGTAGACTAGTATCTATACTTCTTGACTGCCTTCTCTTCATCTCTAGGAGCATTTGGTGTGGTGAGGTAAAGGACTCCAATCTTGGAGCCTTAAGGTGAAGGAGTCAAAATCAAGAGAAAGAAAAGGCATTTCCAACAAAGGTGTTCATTCTTGAGAAATCAAGAAAAGGTCATCAAGGGTAAAGATCTATTCCCTTTTCCCCTTTTCTGTTTGTGTTCAAAGAGACTAGGCTAAGGTAAAAGGTTTAGCTCAACTAGTATAAACGAAATGAATCTGCCATTTAGAATGTTTTTGTTGTATAGGTTGTGCCTAAAGTTCATTTCCTAAGCATTAGATGCATGTTTCCTTCACTTCAAACTATGAAGATACTTTCTAGATATCAAATTTACATGTAGATGTCAAAGTGTGAATTTCTCCAAAAAGTCATAACAAATCAACAAGGAAAGCATTCCAAAAATGCCATCAAGCCCATATCATAGCACCCATTCAAGAATAAAAAGAAATAAAAAGAATAAGAAGAGAAGAGATAAGAGAGAAGAGAGAAAGATTCATCTAAATGATGAATTCCTAGCCTCTGTTAGTTAGTGCAGATGGGCACCACGATGCAGTGGCTGGGGCTTTGCCTCTTCCTAGGAGCGGGCCTAGGCTCGACCCCCGCATCGGCATGTATGTGAGTTTGTAGATATTTATCAACCCTTTCATTTGGAGAGGCCTTCAAAGAAAAAAAAAAGAAGCCTTTGTTAGTTAATATAAAATAATTATTAGTATTTATTTTAATAATTAATTAAATTATATTGCGGTTTGTGGTATATCACATTATTTGGATATGAGGAACCGCAACTGCAACCGCAATTGCATATTGTGGTTGGTTCTATAAACCGTATGTTGTGGTCGGTTTAGATGCAGTAAAACCTCAGTCGGTATTTGTGGTTTTTCGGTCTAAGATGCCAATCCTAGAAAAAAGCATAGATAGGGAGAGCAACTTAGAGTTAGACCAACCAAACCATAGAGAAGAAATATTGCAACACATCTGGGCTTTTTCCTTTCTGGTTAAATATTAATATTTAATAGAGTGTTGCTAAACAAACCCTAAACTTAACTGAGTACATCCTACTACCAAAGTGTTTATTGAATTACTAATTTACCCTAATATAAAATTACCGAAAAAAGATATATGAAATTGTGAAACAAATATAATTTTAATAAGTACACACTACTAGCTCATCATATTTGAATAAACAAAAACAAAAAAATAGAAGTTTTCGTATTGCTTGGTGCCCAGACAAACAATGCAGCGAGTACTGGAGGAGGCGCAAGGAAAGGCATCTCAATAGGGCTATTGACCTCACTCAACATAGCGAGCACTTGAGTCCTTTGGAAAACCTACATTTAGGGTTCTGTATTTGTGTTGAAAAGATTGTCGGTCCTCAAACTGTGAATCTGACGTCCTTTATATAAGACTCTTGACTTGATTTGATTAAGACCTAATTTATGGAGACATAAACAGATCATATCAATTTTATTGCATTTGATTCCAAGCAATTGCAAATCCTTGTCTGTTCTGATAGATATGTTCTTGGCTTACATGTTTGCTATTTAAAGTTGAGTCAAAATGTCCATGTCGTCCCAATTGCAAATCACCTGCCACCAAACTGGCCAGATTTGCATATTTATTTATTGGGTTCAAAATATGAGGTAAAAATAAATAGGAGTTAATATAATGATTCACATGGGAAAGCTTCGCATAATGAAAAAACATATGAGAATTAGTGATGCAGACCAGAAAAGACCACCAAAAAAAAAAAGAAAAAAGAAAGAAAAGAGGAACAACTGATAAAGGATAAAATATTAAGAATAAAGAGTTACTTAAAACATGTAAAAAGATAAATCTAGTTTAGGATTGATATTAGGGTGTTGTGTGATAGAGTGTATTAGGGTATACCAGGGGTATTTTTGGTATTTAAATAGGGTGTACTTAGTTAATTTTACATTTTGATTAAAATATTAGGGTATACTCAGTTAATATTAGGGTATACATTCTGATTTAATACAGTCCCGATCTCTTGGACTACAGGGATCCAAGAGATTTGTGGTCATTCACCGTTGGATGCAAATTCAACGGTTCACTCACTCTTGCACTCCTTTTAAGAAACTTTTTTGAACCATTGGATTAATATCCAACGGTGGGTGACCACAATTTCTTGGACTCCTGTGGTCCAAGAGATCGGGACTGCTATTTAATCAGTCATGGAAATTTTCTCTTTAATATTGGTAGGTTGACACAAATTTTCTATGTCATGGAAATTTTCTATAGATATTTATAAAAATACCCAATCCTAGACATGTATTTATAAAAATACCCAAGCACTATTTAAACATAGAAACATACCCAAAATGGATTTTGGGTATGTGTGTAATGATGAGTTTTGGGTATGTTTAAAAATGCGTTTTGAGTGTGTGTAATGATGAGTTTTGGGTATGTTTATAAAGTGTTTTGGGTGTTGGGTATTTTTATAATTTCAGCCCCCATTTTGGGTATTTTAGTGAAACTCCCAATTTTCTATGTCATGGGAGAATGCTCGGTTGGTGTATGGCAATGGCAAGTGGAAGGTAATGGTGAGGTTTTGCAGGATATTAATTGAGAGGAGAGAAAATGATTAGAAAACAAAAGAGGAAAGATAATTGAGTGATTTTCATAATTATCATAACTAATAAATAAAAATGAAATTTATTTAGCGTTAGAGATTAATTTAATTTAAGTAATTATTGAAACCTAATCTCGACCATTCAGTCCATTCTAATCTAATGGTTGAAAACTTGTGCAAAAAAGATAATGCCATTGATCCGCCCATATGCGCATACTTGAAAATCTAAATAAGCTTTACGACAATTACATGATAGTACATGATAGCAGTCAACATACTACTATTACATAACTCATAGTCAAGCATAAGGTAATTAGCCAAATTCCAAATCCAGCACCACACAAGTCTTAAACCATAGACACAAGTAAAAAAACGTAAAGCATAATATAGGTGCTTCCAGCTCATTCCTTAGCCATTTCCCTCTTAATCCATTTGAGCTTGGCTTTAGGATCTTTCAATTTACAAAAGATCTTCATCTTCTTTTCACATGAAACCAACCCTTTTGCAAACCACCACATCTTGTCCTGATCACGTCTTGGATCATCTTTCAGAACATCGTCCAGATCATCGTCCAAATCATCTTCCTGATCATCTTCATAAAAAATTAATTGTTCAAGTTCCAAGATCACTTTCTGAATTGATGTTTCAGGAAGCCTACTAGGAAGTACTTCAACAATTCCTCCATCCTTGTCATCTTCCTTACCTTGTCTTCTCCTTTTCTTCATCCCAGATGGACTTTACGTACGTTGAGCAGCGAGTACACAAGATGAGAAAATTGAACAATAAGGTCAGTTAGTAACTTGTTATATCATTCATCCATATATCAGAAAGATAGAAATAATAGCATATATAAAGATCACATTTGGAGAAAACTTGACGTCTACAGTCAAAAACCTTAATGGGCACCAAAATATGACTCCATTCACAATACAATAACTCAATGGGATAATTAGTCATATACCCATTCTTAGCACTAAAACTATAAATAAACCCTATACTATTAAATTTCTATAAACAAACCCAAAAAAAAAAACCAAAAAATGAAAGCTGGCCCTATTGAATTTAATTTTGATTATTAAATTACTTTGATGCCCTATTGAGTGTTTTAAGGCTGCAGCAAAATGCAGACATCAGCAGAGTAATCTTCCATTTTAAAATGAAATCAGGGCTAAAATATATTCACTCAGCTTGAACAAACTGCTAAAGCCCATTTTCCAGGATAAGCATAGACTGTCTATACTTCTCTGAATTATTTATTTAGATATGGTAAGAAATACAAGTCAAATTTAGAATTAGTCTGAAAACAAAGGTCCAACACATGAGAAATTACATCACTGAACTAAGTGGACATTTACATTAAAAAAGATAGAAGGATCGAACACCAATGGTTCCCACCACAGTGGTGGTGGATTCCCCCTTCACCCCATGGCACCCAGGATAGAATCCCAGTGGGGTTTCTTACCTCCAATGTAACACCAAAAAAAATAAAAATAAAAAAGGATCGAATCATTTACCGTCTCCTGAATTCCCAACTTGTCCAATGTAGATCCAGCGATATTCTATAGACAGAATAAACGTCAGGTCTACCAATTTAGAGGCATAACAAATAATATCATGATTCTTCTATGTGCCTACTAATTTAGAGGCATAACAAATAATATCATGATTCTTCTATGTGCAGCTGCATGGTGCATCATAATTAGAGTATGGAAAAAATTACTACATGAGCAAGCATTAAAGAATAGCTAATGAAAAATACATAAATTTAATCAGGTGCACGATTAAGTTATCTTTTACCCAGAACAAAATGATCAGATAAGCAGACAAGCATGAGATAAAACCCACTATGCCCCAGAACTAGAAAAAGACAATTTTGATTACTTCTCAGTATCATGGACTGTCAAATATATTCACCAACAATATTTCTATTGTTATTATGAAAGCATAAGCAACATCTTCCCTGGATTCCCAACCACTTTAAGATGAAAGGTGAAGTGTAGAATAGTATAGACTATAGTGATGTATTGATCTTATCTGTTTGATATAAGTAACCTTCTGATTAAAAAAAAAGTTAAAGAGAAGGATCGAATCATTTTACCATATTGCGATGAACTCCAAACACATCCAATGTGGGTCCAGGGCCATCCTATAGACAATAAACGGCATCAGCTATACTAAAATAAAGGCACAACAAAATATAACATCATGATTGGAAAACAACTTAATGCATGACATGAGCAAGCGATTAATGCATAGCTAATGAAACCCTCTACGCCAGTTTCACCCAGAACAAAAAGCTCAGATAAGCATACAAGCATAGGATAAAACCCTCTATGCCTAGTTTCACTAGATATTTTTATGTCATTTCAACTGTTCAGGGAAACTCCAAGAAGAAAATTTAATTTCTTCTCAGTATCATGGACTGTCAAAATCTATTCACCAACAATATTTCCCAACCATATTCTATGCATCCAGTCTAGATGCAATGAGAAGTGTAGTACAGCCTAAACTATATTTGGAATGTAAAAGGTCTAAAATTGTTAACACTTTAGATTTGTCAGGATTTGTGGGACTATATTTTGTATTGTTGTCTGTGGGGACTCCTTGTCTATAGTGATGTGTTCATACTATCAATTTGATAAAAGTAACTTCCTCTCTATATCTAATCAAAATAAGGAGAAATATTCTTTATTTCAAAGACAATAAATTAGTTCACAAAACCAACCACACCACCACACACAAGAAAAAACAAAACAAAATATAACTGTCAACAAAATCTTTTTACATGCATTGTTCTAACATTTCAATGATCTCATACGGGTAAACAAACATTAGATTAATGATTTTCACATCTTGTTCAATTGTTTTCCCTTAACTTATGCACCAACTTTTTAATCATTAAATCCAAATTACAGGTTCCTTTATAAGCCAAACTTATCCCTCAGCGCAAACAATCTGAATTTTGTTGTGGTATATGAAACAGCATAGCATGCTGCACAAGAAACCAATTCAAAAGAGAAATACTAATTACCCTAAACCCTAAACCCTAAACACTTGCATTGTTTTGACCTAAAAAGAGAAATAAAAAATTGATCCAAGTTCACCATATTAAAATTACACACCTGGTCCATGTAAACCTTAAACATTGTTATACGTGGGAATTGCTCACGCAACTCATCAAATATTGGAGTTATCCACTTATGGGCTGCACAAGAAGTATACCAAAAAGGAGCACTTCACTGCAAAGGACTTGATTGATGAAAGCAAATTTACACTTAAAAAAGAAAGTAAATTCATTTGATTAGAAGTTACAACTTACTAGCCCGGCACCAGGGTGCTGTGAAGAAGAAAACAGCAGACATACGTTTATCTATCCCAAGGAATTAGAAAAACTCAAATTAAAAATGCACAACAAAACTTAATTTCGTGTTTCGAAAATTTGTAAACTTAATAGGAGGATGAGGTTGGTGGAGAAACTGGCATACCTTTAACTTCATCAAGTGCATCGTAATAGATGCTGAGGCTCTCAATGACGAATAGGTCTGAGTGACCTGAAAGTAAAATATTTGAAACTGAATCTGAATCTGAGAGTAGGGTTGAGGAGGGGTAATGTCCCTGTTGCAGAACTTGAAAGTTTGGGGCCGGACCGGATTGAAAGATTGGGGTCGCAAAGGAACGGATATTGATTATATGCGGTGAAGATGGTGCGGTATTTGGTACTGAAGTTAGGTTTTGGATGGGTTTGTGGTGAAGATGATAAAGAAGACCTGCAGCACACGGGTGGTTGCGATTACCAAGCAACTGGCGTATCAAAACCCCTGAATTCCTCGCCATTTTCGTCTCTCTCGCTTCGCTTCTCTTCTCTTCTTTTCGGTCTCTCTCCCGCTTCGCTTCTTTTCAGTTATTTTAAACTTTGGCTTTTCATTATGGTGCTTGAGGTTTGCAAAATTATCACTTTTGGTTTCTCACATTATTTTTTTTTTACATTATTGGTCCTTATGTTAGGTCTTAAATATCGATATTATCCCCGATATTATCCCGATAATATCTGATTTTTGGGGGGCCGATATTTTAGCAACTAACCATGGTGTTATCGTCATAATATCGATATTATCGATAATATCCCGATACGAAACCCAATACGAAACCCAAAAAAATACATGAATTTTTTTGAAAAGCCTCCCCTGTTGCGCATAGAGGGATTCGAACCGCTCCCATTTTACTCCTTCAACACCTTAACCACCATATCACTTATGTTTTTGTGAAGTCAAGAAGATGACTCATAGAGAAAGAGGCAAGGGGACTTTGTCAAGTCAAAAAAATGACTCATTATCTATAACTTCGAACTCTGTTGGAGTAGGAAGTAGTAATTATGGTTATACTCATAATCAACCATTTCCCTACCCTTCATATCCCATTCCTGTTGGGATGGAATCAAGCGACTCATGGAAAGAATTCGAGACTCAATCTTCAAATGATTTTGCTTATGGACAACGTCAACCAATCTCGGATCCATATGGGTGGCATGTTAACAATTACATGCAAAACTATTTTGGGGATTTATCATTTGATGACTACTCTTCAAAATATACTTACTCTACACATAGAGATGATGAAGATAGTGAAAATTTTGAACCTCATAGGAACTCTATGTGGTACTAAGTCACTCATGTATCTTACCATGCAATGTATAAAGTGTAAAATATTGTAGTAATTCATTATATATAAATGATTATGGTGTGTTTAATCTTCTTTCATTAATTACTACATATTTTCTACACTTACAGTGTTCACCAGCTCGCTATATAATCAACTTAAATCAGTTAAATCCATCATGCAATGCATTTCGTTCCAATTTTTTGTGATAAACTAATAGATAATTGACTAAATAAACATCCTGCAAAGTTTCAATAAAAATTTCCAAGTTTTTCTTATAATTTCCTTGGTTTTTATTCAATTTTTACCGATACCGATAATATCTCGATATTTCCGTGTTTTTGGACTTCCGATATTTCCAATACCACCGATATTTTAGACACATCAATTTGGTCATGCAAAAGATTCTGTCGAAATTTCTGCTAAATTGATGATGTGGGACATTGTCCATGTATCCAATGAGATAATGCCACATGGATTTGAATAAAAAAAAATTATAGTATAATATATATGTTATGCAGTATATATCTATTGTTTTTAAAAATAATTTAATATTCATTTTTAAAAAAAAAATTGAAAACTAAAAGAAAGAAAATAGAGAAAAACAAAAAATCTACAACTCTCCCCTTCCTCCTCCCCTTCACCTTCCATCTCCCCCCACCCTCCCCCCTATGATCTCTCTCTCCCCATGCTCATTCTCTCTCTATCTCTCAGCTCTCTCTCTCTCACCCTCTCTTTATCTCTCACCCTCCCCCCTATGATCTCTCTCTCCCCATGCTCATTCTCTCTCTATCTCTCAGCTCTCTCTCTCTCACCCTCTCTTTTTCTCTCTCCCTCGCACACCATACAACCACTCCTAGCCCCAACCGAGACCCATCCCCTTGCCCAAATCCCAAATTTTGTTTTTTGTTTTTGTTTTTTTTAATTTTTAAAATTTCTCTTTTTTATTTTCTAATGATTTTTGAGTTTAATAATTTTTAATTTATAAAATATTGTTTAATCCACATGACATGCCACGTCAGCGATTTAACAGAAATTTTGACAGAACCTAACGGCATGACCATTTTGATGTGTGAGGTGTAACATAAAGGACCAATAATGTCAGAAAAAAAGATAAATGACCAAAAGTGATAATTTGGCAAACCTCATGGACTGTATGTGATAAAACCCCTTAAACTTTTTATGTTTTATTGGGTATACAATTGAGGTTTTAAAAGACTATTTACTGATTTAAAAAAGTCTTGTGAATTTAAGAAGAATATAATGACTTATTAGATTTTTTTTCTAGATTTTAAAGATTTCTATATAGAAATCTTTAAAATCACTCTTCGTTTGGAAGGAGGAATTGAAAATGACATAGAATTCTAAAATGACAGAATTTAGATTTCTATCATTTCAATTTTTGGCAATTGAAGATTTCAGTGTTTGGATTTACGTATGTCGAATTTTGTAAAGGACATAATTTTGTAAATGGCACTATGAAAATTGTGAAATGACACATACTTTGGTGGAAATTAAACTCGAGAATTTGATGTCCCAATTTCCACTTTCGTATGGATTTTGCAAGCAAACTATTTATAAAGTTTCTTCTTTGGGTTTAAAATGCGGAATTTAACCTTTATTTGTAAGTTATCTTTCTTAAAACTCAATCTCTTTTTTGAATTTTAGAAATAATGACTTTGATATAGAATTTACCCTCCGTTTGGATGAGGGAAAATAACTCGGAATTTAGCTCGAAGTCGAGAACTTAAGAGGAGAAATTGACAATTCCCTTGTTGGCAACTTAAGCACGGATTTTAATAAATGACACGCGGAAAAAATCATGGAAATTAGAACATCAAATTCCCGAGTTTAATTTCCTCCAAAATAGGCATCATTTAACAATTTCCGTAGTGCCATTTACAAAATTCTATTATTTATAAAATTCGACATACATAAATCCAAACATGGAAATCTTCAATTGTTAGAAATTGAAATGATGGAAATCTTCAATTGTTAGAAATTGAAATGATGGAAATCTAAATTCCTTCATTTTAGAATTAATGTAATTTTTAATTCCTTCATCCAAATGGAGGGTTTAAGTTGGGATTTATAACCTCCAAATTCCATTTTTTTCCCATGTGGAATTTCTAAATTTCAACGTTTTTTTTATCCGAACACGAGAATTGGTTCATGTCAATTTAGTAATTCTGACTTTTGTCAAAATCCCAAGTTTATTTCCCTCATCCAAACGCATTGTAAAAGCCAACCTTCCCACCACTCTCTCACTCTTTTTTCTATCCCTTCTCCCAGACCGACACCCACAAAGCCAACCTTCCATGTATATGAAACAGCATAGCATGCTGCACAAGAAACCAATTCAAAAGAGAAATACTAATTACCCTAAACCCTAAACCCTAAACACTTGCATTGTTTTTACCTAAAAAGAGAAATAAAAAATTGATCCAAGTTCACCATATTAAAATTACACACCTGCTCCTTGTAAACCTTAAACATTGTTATATGTGGGAATTGCTTACGCAACTCATCAAAGATTGGAGTTATCCACTTACGGGCTGCACAAGAAGTATACCAAAAAGGAGCACTTCACTGCAAAGGACTTGATTGATGAAAGCAAACACGGGTGGTTGCGATTGCCAAGCAATTGGCGTATCAAAACCACTGAATTCCTGGCCATTTTCGTTTCTCTCGCTTCGCTTCTCTTCTCTTCGCTTCCCTAACCCTTCTTTTCTCTTCTCTTTGGCATTGTTGTGCTGTGAAAATAATTGCTGTCAGATTTGCAGTGAGAGAAATCAGTTGTGAGATAAAGCAGGTAATCTTTTTGTTAAGAGTGTTGTTGGTACTAATTCCCGCTTAATCAGAAAATGATTCTCACATAATCATTAAACCTAGCGCCTCTTCGAAACTAATTCCCGCATAATCAGAAAATGAAAGCACCTCATTAGCTGCTTTCTCTTATAGCTTGCTCTCACAACAATTTTTAACAATAAGTGATTTTCTCATAGTTTACCAAACGGGCTGGGCTTCCCAAAAATGTTAAAAAATCACTTATTACCCCAAATAAGCAATGCCAAACTGGCACTTAGCTTCTTTTAGGTTATGTTTTAGGATATGATTTCTCCACTCCCTTTTTCTCTACGCATACACTTTATTTTGCTTTTTAATACTTTTTAATCAATTTTGTTCTTTCTCTTTCCTATTCTATCCTTTCCCTATATTAATTTCTTTTAAATTCTTTTTCTTTATACTTAATTTTCCAATTTACACTCCATTTTCAATATTTTTTTCTGGAACCATTCCTCCGAAGCTGGGGAAGTTGATTAACATGGAGACTTTGTCAGTGGGATTTTTCTTTTTCCAAAGTTCATAGTTTGACATTCTTTGATTTTCATAACCAAGTTGAACATAACAAGTGACAAGGTTTGACATGCCATGGGTAATTAATGACAGCTATCTTCGCGCTAATAATCTCACTGGAGAGTTGCCTGTGTCTCTCACTAATATGACCAAATTAAAAACATTGTAAGTGATTTTTACTGTATTTTACATAATTAAGACGTTTCGAGTTCAGGTTCATGACATTCCTTTTTTTTTTCTTTTGGGTGGGGTGGTTCAAAATATTCTGCAGTTGGATTGGCAGTAACAACTTCACTGGGAAAATACCGAACTATTTTCTTAGTTGGAAAGAGCTTGAGATGTTGTAAGAGATCTTTTCTAGCATGAGTCTTATATCTCTGTCATCTTCAAGTATCTTCAGTTAAAATATAAATCCATTTCAAATGTGTTGCTTACAGAGAGATGCAAGGGAGTGGTCTTGAAGGGCCCATACCTCCTAGCCTGTCTGCATTAACTAAAATGTCATTCCTGTGAGTCTTGGCTTCTAAGTTCTCAATTATTTTAAGTTTCAGATTTTTTTCACTCTCTTTTGAGATATCATTGCTGAAGAGACTTGTATTCCTAATAGTTATCTTGAGGTGATCTTTTGCAGAGCGATTAGTGACTTAAGCGGTGAGAGTTCAGATTTTCCAAACTTATCAAATATGAAAGACATGCAGACTTTGTGAGCCATCTTTATGGTTTTAGACTTTTAGTATCCTTTCTGATTAGAATAACCTACAAGTATATAACATTTATTTTCTTATACGGGTTGCTTCAAATTGCAGGATGTTAAGGAGCTGCAATATAAGAGGAAC